GAACGTAATCTTCTACACTTATCTTATCATTAGAATAACCTTTAAACGTTTTCTTTTCTTTTAAAACACCGTCAGAAGTCAAAACGATGTTGTATTTGACTTTTGGTGCTAAATATAAACCAAATATAATTCCACCGTCACCGTAATCGTTTTTACCTTTGCAATAGTCTTTTTCGGAGACCAAACCAGCTCTGTTTAGTTTTTTCCAATTTTTGGATGAAATGTACAAACTATCGGTGTCGGTATAGTATATTTCGGGTTTATAAAATCCATTTATGACGTGAATGAAATTGTTCATTATTTTTTTACTGTGAGATAAAACGAATGATCCCAAATGACTAGGTGTTAGTAGTGTAGATTTACTATCTTCGGTAGTAATCTCTTTTTCTTCAATTTCTGTTTCAACAATATATTGAGTATCATTAATTTTCTCATAGGTTTTAACGCGTGAATATAGTTGTGAATATATCTTTCTGAATTGATTTACCATACAAGGAATTACCTAATAATTTCATGCAGCTACTACCCACGATATTACCTTCTCGTTTATATTTATTTCTTAGATCTCTGAAAATTAAAATATAATCTCTATAGGGTGGAGTTTTGAAATTTTCTTCGTAAACTATACCATCTAATATTCTAATAATTCGTCCACCGGCTTTCACTATTTCTTGAATATCGACCGATGTTAAAACGTCGTGACAGAAACCATTTCTGAACCTGATTTTGTTACCCGTTTCCTTTTACCTTCTTTATTCGTAAAAGTGATTTTATCTTTAGCTGGTATCGGTTGGAAGAACATGTTTTTGGGATAGTCAAACCACACTGTTAAAATAGCTGTTCTAGGTCTGAATTTTTGTTTATTGAAGAGTTTTACAAATTCTTTTTCTTCTTCTGGTAGAAACGGTCTTCCACTTTCCGCTCTCGGATATTCACTGTCTAAATCCGACATGGCGGAAGCGTATAAACCGTTAGCATCAAATGCCATTAGTTTAGTACATTCTATTTTTTTAAGTCTCGAATGAACCTCCGTTTTGTCTTTTTTGCTTGCGCTGTATTCTTTGAATAAATCAATTATGTTATTACTTTCTGTTTGTGAAATATATTCCTTTAATACGTTACAAATTTCATCCATTTTGTTCGTTTCAAATGATTTTCTATTTGCCGAAACTCTTCCTCCTTTAATAGATCGTCTGATAAAATTTCTTATAAAAGGATTAGTGTGCGAATAAACTTTTTCTACGTTTTCTTTTTCGGTATGTTTCGCAACCATTCTAGTAGTTTCATACCATTCTTCTTCCACCATTTCTTTATCGTAATGATATAAA